GACCTATGTGACCCAGTCTCCTGGTTAGGGTTTTCATACCCTCGTGCCAGGTCCTAGCCTGACCACCCTTGGTTTTTTTCCACTCGGTGTCTGCTATGGCGAACATCGCTCGCCGTGGTGACATGCGTAACACATGGCCCAACCAAAGTAATCTATGGAGGTCGACCACTTGCTCCAGTGGGCGACCGCGGATACCCAAAACTCTGCTACCTCAGCATTGCTCATCCGGCTACCCCACCAGATTCGGGTAATGCTGCGTAGACAGTGGTGTTCAAACACCGACAGTCTGTCAGTCAAAGTGACGTGCATCACAATGAATCACATTTTCATGCTAAACGTTTCTTATTTCATAGCTTTGCGTGTTACTGCGCACTAAAGGGACGTTCTATGGATACCTGCAATCGAAACTGGCCATCAAGTTCTCCCTCACGTATATATTATCAGTTCACCTGCATTGGTGGCATCAACTACAAACATATGAACTCATTTGCACCCAGTTTCTCAAATAAATAATGTAAATCAAATTGTTTTAAGAAATATCTTGAATCATCAGTAACATAGGTACTGATGGCGACTGCACACATCGTGAACCGACTTTCCTATTAACTGAGGGCTCAAAAAGGTTGAACCTATTCAGTCATGTTGCTTGGCGCGGCCTTCAACTTTGGACGCACTGCTACTTTCCGTGCGATCATTGCCCCATAGTCACTAACATTTCCGTTGCTTTTACACATCAATTCCTTTGCGGTTCGTTAACATAGACGCATTGTGCGATTACGATGGCGGAAGTCGCGAAATTCCATAACGCCTTCATGAAAAACATCAAACCTCTAATTTACCTCCTGATTTACCGGAATTCGCAAGATAAATAAATACAGGATTTGCAGAAAATCTCGTGGACATTGGAGGAAGAATAGAAGTGGGTGGAGAGTAGCAGTGCATCAAATGAGTTTGGTACAACTCTGGATACTCATCATTATCAGTAGCAACAGCAGCAATATATATATATATGGTATATTCTAACTTAGGCACAATTTTGTTACAAGTGACCTGGTTGCTTAGTGAAATTCATGAAGAGATTACTGAACTCGACGGCTTCACTGTATACTGAGTCGACCGTCCGGTAACATATCAGAAGCGTGGAGGAAATCTGGTGACTTATTTCAATGACAATTGGTGCAGTTATGTGAAACAAACATTCGCTCATTCCGCTGGTCACTTGTATGTCTCTGTACATGAATGCAAGCCTAAGCGCCTCAGTAACTATCGCTGGATTGTCTTAGCAAAAATGTATATATCTTCTTCTTGTCCCTTAGAGGCAATTCTTCATTTTCTAGATACTGTTTCCATAGTCTTGATGAGTTTCCTTGATTTCTCGCTGTGTATCATCATCTGTTGTGACTTAAACTGTGTTGATATCAGGTTTTTGACTGTTTTTGGTTTGACGAACATAGTGCGCTTCTTAATAAGGCTGATGCTCACTTAGACAAGTGTTTTGTGCATACGTTTTGACGCATCTGCCCTCTCCTCTCATTGATCTTCAGATCATTCTCTTATTAAAGTTTCCCAAAAGTGTACAGCAAGTTCAATCACATATCGTTCATAAATGCCGCGACATCGAAAGAAGAAAATGTCAATGTAACCCAGAGAACCTAGAGAAGCTCATTGTGATGGTCTCTCAGACTTTAGTGTATTTCACCACCCTAATCGTTTCATCTATTGTGATCACCTTATACAGCATCTAAACCTCTGCTACAACCTATGCTGCCCTTAGAAGACGCTACCTTCAGTGTAACCGCATCTCGTCTCGTCATCTGAAATAATTAAGTAGAAGCAAGGAAAGGGTATAATAATGCAAAGATCTTGAAAGAGTGAAACTCTTATCTCTTGCTATCAAAGGTGAGCTACGTCCCTTGAACGGCATATACACTCGCATAGTCAAGCACAACAAAACCTCTCGAGAAACTTGGGACACCATCAAGCAACTGAGTGGTCAATCCTCAATCGTGTCGCGAACAGCAATAGACGTTGAGGAAATTAATAGAACATTTTACAAAAGTACCAACAACACGGAGACGGAGTCAATCATCACCAGCCCAAACATCAATCCCAGCAATAAAGAACCCTTCACTATTCGACAACAGGATAAACTGAAAGAGTTGCTGACACTCGAACTCAGAAAATCGCCCGGTCTCGATAGGTTTCAGGCTGCCATCCTTAAGGAGTGCGCTGACACTTTTTCGCCAGTGCTCACAGCTCTGCTTAACCACTGCTTGGAAAATGGGATTGCACTTGATTGTTGGGAATCAGTCTCCATTGCTTCACTATCTAAAAGATGCACCTCAAAATGTTTTCCGATTGCATGGACGTCTGTTGTGTTGAAGCTTTTTGAGAAGTTACTCCTTCAAGGAATGTTTTCTCAGCTGGATGTGAAGGACCAAAACCATTTTGCGTACTGACAGTCTTGCTCCACACTAGATACACTCGGTTATCTGGTTCACCATATTCAATCAACCCTTCAATTGTGTTGTTAAATGTTTGTCTACCAATTGGATATCGCATACCATAACTGCGTTACTCACAAAATATTGCAGAAATCCATCACAGTTCATACGTTGCTCTGTTCGTTCCTCGTCTTCCTTAATTTCTGCACTAGGTGTCTTAAAGGATGTCATTCTGTTCCCGTTTTTCCTTTCCACGTATGTTTAATCCATACCTCTTTTTCAAAATTCCGTGCTCATTAAATATGCGGACGATGTTGTGGTCGGAATTGCCCACGCTGATTCATCTGTTACGTGCACCCTCCACCTCAGCCTTACTGACTCTGCTGAGTGGTCCACTCCACATAACTTAAATATTAGTCCCTCTAAATGCGTAGACAAGCTGATCTCACTTCAGATAGAGGATTGTTACGCTAATCTCCTGGAATCCTGTCCCACGTTAAATACACGCGATGATAATATTATTATAATATATTATAATATTATAATATTATTATCCAACCTATAAATATCAAGTATCTTGGTGTGTTAATTACCCGAAATTTGTGCTGGTCTGACCAAGGATTTTCTGTGTTTGGAAAAACTAGGAACTTATCATTTTATGTCCTACATCTGGAAGCATCATCCGTCCGTCGCTTCTTGATCAGACGTGTTCTTTTTGCTTGTATTTTGCTTCTATGGCCCCTATAATCTTTCCAGGGATGCTCAAAAAGGACTTTATTATGCTTAACAGATACTTGGCACATTTACCAAGAATTAGTGGCACTTCCCGTGAAACCTTCCGTCACTTCATCGTTTCACAACATACACAGTCATGCTTCTCGTTATCCACAAAAATCATAGGCAACCCTTCACATCCGGTAAACCGAGATCTTATCAAGTGTGCGTCCTCTTCTTCCAACCTGTCTCGCAATAACTGTATATTTGTTCGTACAAACGCCTATCGGTCTTCTGTGGTACCTTATCTAGCCCGATTTCTTGCTAACCCTGAACGCATCACTTCGGAACTGAACTTACTCATATCGCAAAATTGTTTTGCTTTCTCCTTGCTTACCACAATGCGAACGTAATTTTGCTTCATTATTGTTGGTTGACGTTGTGGCTGCTGAATATCCACCTTTCGGGCTACATAAAGCGAATACTTGACTTTACTCATCTGCCTTGACGTTTTGACCTGTTGTAAATCAGAATTTATTCATCTCGGAACCTAAGATATACGACGTTTGCTGAATTGCTGCCTCTGTTTCGCTAGTGCACGCGGTTTGTCAATCGTGACGGGTTTAGGTCTGAACTTGGGAATCTATCCTAATTAGTCACCCAACCACTGAATACTAGTGCAGTACGCAATGCCTCCCATCACTTTTAAAATCGTTTGTGCAACTATCGTACAGACAATAAAAATATCCAGGAACAATGTGGTCTGAGGGGAGGCGTGTGATAAATTTTTAAGCATGTTCCAACCATAATCTAATGAGTATATGTAATTCAGCTGCTGTATTTGGGACATCGCCGGGGCCGAGAATCCGGTTAAAAGAAATCACAATGTGCTTTGGTTGTTTCTCATGTTACTAGATATATATATGTGTTTCCATCGAACTAAGCGGTACAGGAGATACAGGATAACAGATAACACGAATCCAAGCAAAGACGGAACGTAAAAGAAGAAAGAAAAACGGAGAAAACATCTTGTCAATAATTTTCGTTGATCAGTTACTCTAATCTGGGAATGTGTGTGTCTGATGGTCTTGGGGTGGTTGCTCTTAGTAAGGTCTGTGAGACAACGTGATCCAATTATTGCGTGTGTGCGATTGCGTGTGTATAAATCGGTGAATCTGATAGCGACGTCTCACACCAAGGAGTGATGTTGGTCCATGGAGAGAACGAGAGGAGCAACTCAACAAGTAATATGAAGCTCGCCAGTTTCCTCTCGTGTTTATCCATGTCACTATCGTGTCTGCACAAATCATCACAAATCGGTGGTTAAGATAGATAGGTTGATAGATAAAAATATGGGGAGAATAACTGGGAAGCCAATTATGCTTCATTCAAAATGCTAGGAAGTTTACGAACAGCACGCTTGTGGTGGGTTTCAACAAAGGTGTGCGTTTGTGTGCAATTTGGAGAGAGAGAGTTTGACGTTTGGCCGAAATGCAATTGAAATGCTTTGGGAACGGCGGGGGGGGGAGGCTGACAGTTGAGGGGAGACGGGGAAACAAAATTTATCACACAGAAGGAAAGAATAAATGCATAGTTGTTTTGAGAAATGCGAGTGTAACGTGTGCGCATAGACTGTCCACTGTTCAATTTATATATATATATAATCCGCAGCACCATTCCGTTTGATAATGGGTGACTGAATTAATAGAAGGACAGGAACTTGCAGATACACAAAACGACAAAAAGATAGAACAACTGATTTCTCTTACAAAAAACGTGATGTTGTGCCTGTTTTCTTTTATAACAAACACTTCCCGATTGAAAATCGCGCCCAGTCAACACTCAGGATGTGAGCTGGTAGAGTACGTTGAACGAAACACATAGACAGAAGAATGAATGGACAACCGCGATGTTATTGCCTTTGTTACCTGCAGTCTGTCGTAAGTAGGACGGCATATTCAACATGCGCCCACTAGCTCCGTTGGCGGATGATGTACGGAAAATAATTCGCTGAGCTTGAGCAAAACCGCCTGCAGTTTGGGCAGACAATTCCAATTCGTATGCTCTGTCCGGTTGCAAATTCTCCACCCGGTATTCACAAACGGGATAGTTATCGGAATCGCCGGCTGGTTGCGTGCAACGTGGATTAACAACCGCGTACTCTGTCCAACCACCGACAGGTCGACCGGAGACTTCACCTAATGTATCGATGGTATGAGGGTAGAGAATTGAGAAAATGTATATCGTAACTGATATCTACATGATTTATCTACTGATAAACCGGCCTTTTTCAAGAAAACCTCTCAGTCGAAAATCGATAATTCAGAGAAAATGGCTAAAATTCCCATGAGAAATAATAATCATATACATCAACATGTTGACGTGAATTTCGAGAGGAAATGTGACTCGAATAAATGTCTGATTAGATTCTCAAGCCTTGGTAAACCATTCTTATATATGAAACGGCAGTGTGTATAACAGTACATTTTAGGCTGAACACTTAAATCACATCCGGTCAAACCCAAAAAACGAAACTGAGCTCTAGATAATACTTTTTGATTCTAGCTTTCAGAAATGCTCCAAAATAGAGTCAGACAAGTACCAGATGATTGATTTCATGGAATGACTGCAAATGCTGCTGCACATTTCTACAATCCCTATTTGAGAAAAAAATCCGTGATTCAAATAAATCGAAACATTGCTTATTTGTTTGTTTTAAAACTGGAAAATTACTCCAAACCAAGCGAATGCGAACCACAACTACTGTGCAGATGATCCCGTTCATAAATTGGCCAGCCGCACGAGACAGACACCACTCTCAGTTCACCATGTGCAAATCGCAATCAAGATGTATGTCCAAATTGTTGTTTGACAGATTTGAAGTTTGTATGGCGATTGTGAAGCGTTCAGTCGTCTCGGTGAGATTCGAACCTACGCATCGACGCAGCCTACGATTTGTACGCGCACGCTCTTTCAGCTGAGCTACGAGACCACACCGACAACACCTAAAAGCCTTAGTAGCTCATTCGGTGGACTCCGGCGAATTCTAAGGAAAATCTGTCGGGGCAGTCAGCTTACATGCTAACTAGTGGATGCCATTTGTCTTTATAAGTTGGAGGGGTAATCCAAATGTGAAAAAATGAAAGTCCACTTATTACCTCAATTGAGGATCTTTTTATTCATAAAAAGCCTGTTTGAATTACCACTTGCCTTTTTCGAGTTGCACTACATCATGTGTGATCAGTATACTGAATCATCACGGCGGTTGGCGTTCTCCGCCAGTAGCCTTTTCCTATCTGCGATTTCATCACAAATATGAGTTTGATGAATTGACACCCGACAGGATCTCGAAATTGCAACATACAAGTCAAACGTAATTATTACAAGTCTGTTACCCATAGTATTTTTGTTGACCAAGAAGTTATATTTTCTTTCGCTACGCTTAGTTTAATTAGTCAGTAGATTGATGCATGGCCTATGCTGATGTTTAATGAATGTCTGTGTTTGCAAAATGATCCTTTGACAACAACTCATGGGGTCAAGATAATTTGAAAGGGGAAAGGCGGATAAAAATGTGTGAATTGGACACGATATGAAAGATGTTAGTCAAGAAAGAATAAAACACGTGTGAAAGTATGCGAAAAATATAGCAAATGAGGAGTGGTGGAGGGAGAGAATAGAAGTGTCACATAGTGAACAATTATTCCTATGGTCATGTTAGCAGCAGCGTCTAATACAGATTATGTTGCTTGCACAACTACGGCTTCATAATCCTATCTGCTATGGATTCCACAGGTGTAAAAACCTTAGTACGTAATCCGTTGATGTGGGTCTCAGTTTCAGTGAGGAAATTTGTGTTTCTTGGCCAATCATGTGTTCACTGTCGATCAGAATTTGGCTGTTCAAGCACCTCACTGTTCGTTTTCATAGAGCGGCTGGACCATGTTCAGATATTCTCTTGCGCAAACATCTCGATATGCGTCCGACATAGCGAGCACCGCAAGTGCACGTAAACTGATAACGAGCCATGGATTGGGACTGATGAGGCAGGTTGTCTTTAGGCTGTTGAACAATGATAAGAGTATTTAATGCGCCGCGTAAAATCTGTTGTCAATGGCCTCGGATAACTGCTGCTCCATGATTTCTAATACCTTGTCTTCTTTGAAAGAAAAATTCGCAGACACCCTTCTAGCCATTTGTACGTTTCCATCTTTGTTTTTTTATTCCATATGTTGTGGAACAAACCCCTCTGGATGTTTGTTTTTTCCTGATGTTGTTTCTTATGCAAGTCTCTGGACTAAGAATTCTCCTTGCCCTGTACACTAGACAGTTCACTAAATGTCGTTTGTATCTCAGGAGAAAAACTTTGAAAATATGTGTACTGTCCTACCCATGTGTGCTTACCATATACTCCTCTTTCGAAATGGCTGGCTATCTTGTGTACGACATAGACCAATGTCGAGAAAAGCGACCAAGTTGTGTTTTTCTACCTCCATTGCAACTCGTATACCCGGAAGAGCGTTCCTAAATACTTGGTGTAAATTATAAATGTCCTTCCGGAATTGCAAGTGATAACCTTATCATCCATATACCTGGTGTGCAGACCAAGACTTTTGATTGTGTTTCCCAAAGGTCCCCATGCGAGCTTGGCTAAATATGTATCCGTCAGCACCAAGCGATGATCCCATTGTCACATCACCACTCTGTCGATGGTACTTTTCATTGTACAAAAGCTCTACGTTCCAAATGCATCTCAGTATGAGTTCTTCAAATTTCCTAACGGGTATTTTGAACTTGATACGGTTGTCAATAATGTGTTGACAAATATGTCAACCGAGACTTTATATTGTTCATTTGAACTATATATGTAAATTCCTGGACCATTATGTAGAAGAGAAATCACTTCACTTTTCTAATTTGTTTCTGTGGGTCGATGGTTTTATTTCAGGAAATTTTACAACGTTTCACAGTGTAAAAAACATATTTGGTACTAGGAACCAAGGAGTCCTGCTTATGTATGTGATGAACTAGTCATGAATGTAATCAGGTTATAGGAGTCAATTTTAATACTCGTTTTGGAGAGAATTAACGGCCCTAATTTGTGAAGTACTCTTTAGCCTTTATTCAATTCATCAGTATAGAAACACATAAGTGGGTAAAATTGACAAATTTACGTGTTCGCATTCAACTGTAAACACAATACGCGACCTCAAAGTTCACGAGCTTTGATACGTTTGGAAACCATCACCATGCATCATTTCAAAGCACAATTATATGTTAAAAACACTTGAGATGCATCTATTGTTGCCGTGATAGTCATTGTGTCACGCTCGATGCAGTCCTGACTTTTCCTCGCCCCTGCCTCCTAAACCACGTTCATCACCCTTTTCCAACCAGTTCACTTTTATAATTTATTATGGAGCTTTGTTAACCAACTTGTCTCTAACCATTAAATCATCCTGAATCATGCAACTCAGTTTTCCATCGTCTTACTCAAAAGGATTCATTTCAACTCCTGTGTTTCTTTGTTTGTCATGATCGTATCAATGTGCGCCGAAAGCTAAATACAAACACGCGATACGGATGACCAGTATCAACTTTGTCCGTTTACGTCATGTAGAATTGGTGAGCTAAACAGTTTTTAACCCCCAAATCGATTTATTGGGCAGAACATTGTGCTGTTAAGATACCGAAACATCAGTCACATGGTGAGAATGTTCGCAGTGTTATTACTATTATTTTTTGCATGTCATGCAACCTAGCTGTTTATTTACGGGCGAGCAAATTGTGAATCCTTCGAATCGCTTGGCATTCTCATTGATGATTGCCTAAAGTGACTGGATGCCGATCGAACCAGACCGGCAGCACGATTGTCAAGGATTTCCAAACGCATCATTTATTCAATGGAAAGATAAAGGATTTCAACTCTAGAACTCTAGAACTGTTACTGGGTTGGAATTCTAACGAAATTCGTATATGCTCTTGCAAATACATCTTTTAATAACCTATTTAGACAAGGTATATGAAGTGCTATTTTTGAAAGCGTTTGTTGATTACTTGGCTGGGAGTTTTGATCTGATCTATCCTACCTTATAGGAAAACCAAATCTTAATGACGAGTACTTTATGGGCTGCTGACAGTTAATAGCGTACGGTCGTATTCTCCCGATCTGTCTGAATATAAGGCAATAACAAAAGTATGTGAACGCTTTCATTTGAAGAAATTATCGTGAAAAAGACTATATTGGTTTTCTTTGTCGATTTTCGGCACGGTGAAGCCTCACGCAACAGCGCGAGGCTAAATAGAGTAAGCCGTTTTAGAACAAGAAAGCTGTACCGGGTGATCCAAAGCGAATTTCAAAAGTCTTCCTTGATTGTACAAAGACGAGAACAACACTTGGAGTAATTTGGTTGTGATGGTTTCCCATCAAGGCTCAACCGCTCCCGAATTCCAACGGGCAGTTAAACCAACTCCGTTTCTTGTTTCTCTGAACCCGCACATGCACTCGCTTCCCTGTTTTCCAATTGTCACAGAAGTTTATTGGATTTGATGAACTACATGTGAGACGATAGGTTTTGATTCGTAAGTGATAACTTTGATCTCTTCCCTTTTGATTGGTCCCATTACATCCATAGGCCCATTTACCGAGTTATGTGAAAAGGATTGTAATGTTTTCGTAAACCTCATATTAACAACTAAACGTTTTGTTTAATTGGTAGTTTCGAAAAATAAAGTGTCTTCCTGGTCAACCTATGGTTAACCAAATTTGAAACATTTAGTGCTACAGGTGTGGTGTTGTGGCCTATCTGGTAGATCGCGCGCCTTACACAAGCATAGGTTGGGTGCATATGTGGGTTCGAATCCCACCGATGCTAGTGAACCTTTTCACGATTAAAAAAACAAAAACGTTTTTGCTAAGAATAATTGCCTATGAATCACAGTTGGGCTTTCATTCTCCTGATTAATTGTCTTTGAGCTGCCAACGGATCGACCTAGGGCAATTTAGAGCACTGAATTCAATTGAAAGAAACGGAAATCAAGTAGGTAGAAAATAAAACGTTTGAAAGAAGTTAGAAATTGTCCGTTAGATGATGTGAGTATCGTCAGTCCAAAACACAAGTTAAACTTTGCTGTAGATTTGAATGCTTCTTAGAATAACGTGCTTATCGATCCACGTGTTGAGTGTGTAGGCTTATCTTAACATCAGCCGTAAACAGTTTCCGATGAGGGTGGGGTTTCTTTGGAACTGCAAATTTTATTTAGGCCATGCTCATGGACCTCATTAGGGTGGATCGGGACTACGCCTCACAGATATTTCTGTTTTCCGTAGTTTTCGTAGGAGTCTGCTGATTGGTGAATAATAAATACATCAATCAAAATCGGATAGTTTGTACAGTAAGTTGCTCCGTCTTCTCCTTTGTGAAATATATCTACAGATATATTCATCACCATGTTTCGTTCACTTCATGGTCCTCGTATGTATTTGTTGGATACACAGTGCTAAATAAAACACTGATTTTAACCACAACCAACCAGTTAGTTGCTTTTCTCCACGATGGTTGTTTTTACTTAGAGCAGCTAGACTGGATCAGGTACGATTATTTTGGACAATACAAGGATGAACCAACCGACGACGAAACTAAGTCNCAGACACAAGAATGAGAACGATCCACACACACACACACACCGTTTGGTCCTTGACTTCATTCAAACCCAATTGTGAACCGTATGTGCCACATGTACCATGCAGCGTTTAGTTGCGTCTATTTCTACACTATGTGATTGCTCCCGGGCTTAGCCAAAGCTGAAAGCAGTATGAGCAATAACGTATTTGTTTTGAGTACAAGCTTCGTTTCAACTCCTTTTCACGCATTATGATCGGCAAGTTTAGTGACTAAAATTTATACAGACAATTCAAATTTCCAAATATGCCCATATCCATATTTAGAACACAACTTCAGGCGAAATATTGTTTTCAAC